ATATAAAATCAAAAGGGGTAGCGAAGCGCACCTGGTTCAGCTAGTGTATATATACAAAGGATGGGGATGTTAGCTAGAATGCTTATATCTCCAGAATGACTGGACCGATTTTGACAAATTTTGTCAATTAGGAATGCCCCTTTGACAAAAAAGTATAAAATGATGTTTTATAGATTTTGTAATATTTTGTAATATAAATTTATTTTTTCATATTTTTTATCGCATACGATTTTTTCAACTTGACTTATAATATTGAAGTGTATACTTTGTAATATTTTTTCGCCTTTCAACACAGGTTAGTGTTATTATATACAGATTGCAATTATCGTCCGATCCTCACGAAAGTTTTCACAAGGGTAGGGTTAGGCTCAGAAAGACTAGGACGATTGTTTCCAAAGACGTCCGCAATATATTTAGGGGTTGAAATGGACCAAAAACAAATAATATTTCCGATTTTGCAGTCTTTATAAAGGTCACAAATAGAAACCAAAGGACACGAAATCTTGCATGAAGTTAGAATTTAGGACAACGGGTAGAGTGGACCACTACTTTTGTGTAAAAAAATACCAACATTGCTTACAGACGATATCTAAAATAAACCATAAGCGAACTTCTCGCTTTTTTATGCTGATTTCGTTGACGAATTTTGCCAAATATCGTAGATAAGCAAATCATTTAGATGAATCTAAATTTGGAGATACAGAGGGGCGTCTTGCTTTTGGAGATGATCGCAATGATGAGAGATGATCGTTCAAATGAACCAAAAACAGAAAAAATTTCCTGATCACACAATTGAAGCCAATAAACACGCCTGAGAAGATAGCTAGGTACAGGGAAGAATACTGGCATCTTGGATGACCATTGGATTATATTAAGCCGTAAAATGGACCACAACAACTAACAGCACGACTGAGTGCGTAAATATTGGGCAAATGTCCCTGGTCAAAATACTAAGGGTAATATCTGGGTAGTGCTCCGTGACATAATTTCAAAAGCGAAATCTTCCAAAATGACTTGGACATGACGGGGCTTCTAACATATTTTAGTGTTGTAGGGTATCACATGGTCGGCCCCGCACGACTATAGCCTTTGCTTACATGTTTTTTTTTTTTTTTTTTTTTTAACTGGTGAGAATCGGTTCAAATTTAGATATAGCTTGCACACAAAATGGATTGCATTTTGGCAATTCCAACTGAATTAATCATATTAGAAATAAGCACTTCATTTACTCAACGTCGGTTCAGATATAGCTCCCATATATATGTTTCATCCACAACAATAATCTTTGGTACAAGATATCAGATACAGCTCAGATATATGTGTTTAAAAATGGTTCAGATTTCTATATAGTTCCCATATATATATATTTATCCGATATCAGATTTATTGTGCACCAAATGGTCAATATTAGTCCAATAGTCCTGAATTTTGATACATCCGACCGAATTCCGTATAGAAGCAAGCACATCAAAATTGGTGAAAATCGGTTCAGATATAGCTATAGTTCCCATATGCATGTTTCATTCGATTTGGTGTTTAAGTCCCTCACATTAATATGCATTCGACAACAATGATACTTGGTACCAGATATCTTATGGAGCTCGGAAACATCTTTGCCTAATTTTAGCGATATCGGCTAAAATTTGGATATAGATCCCATATATATCCATAATCCGACTTCAGGTTTACTGTGCAAATAATGGCTAATATCAGCCCAAATGGAGCGAACTTCAGGACGTGGGTTTAAATTTTGATAGTATGATCTACTTGAAATAAATTCTTTTGTTACGGGAACACTACTAAATATGCGATTTTTGACTATCCTTAATGGTTTGGCCTAAGTTTCAAGCAAGTACATTACACCAAGTTTGAAATATATCGAGCACTTCCATCGCTCAATCTGGGGTTCTAATTTTTTTTTTCGCAAATTTTTGAACTTTTTCCTATATAAGTTAGCTACAGTGCTCCAGATGGTCTTTCCTTTAACATTTTGCATTCGACACATGCATAACACCCTCATTCTGGTATGGCCTGGGGATTTATCTTGATGTTTTTAGTTAAAGAGAACTAATCAGTTAAAATAGTTTGGTAATATCCGTTCATGGTTTAAATGAAAATTAATTAGTATCAAATCTTTTGCGAATTGTATTTTGAAATGCAAATGTTATTTGCAATCACTTTTATCATCCCGTGCCTTGGGTTATTCTGTTTGTATGTGTTTTATTTATTAACATTATTAGAATAAATGGACATGAACAGTCAATTTACTGAATTCAAGCGTGTTCCACTTTAAACTGCAAATAAAATGTTGTTAAACTTTTCATAAAACCATTAGCTGGGTGAGGTCATTATATGGGAGCCATACCAAAACGAGAACCTATGTAGCCAAATTTATACTTCAGGGATTCTTATGTTCAAATCGTCTAAAATACCATATTTGAAAAAATTTCGTGGGTAAAAGTGATCAAGAGTATCAAATACAGAAAAACTTGGACGTATACATACAATGTTCCGCCACCAGAGATAGAACCTATTACGACCTACAAAAAACAAATCCGTGAAAAAAATGTGGCGAAAATCATCAAAATACCGAATATAGGGAGGTACATATGGTTATATGGCGGCTATACCAAAACGTCCTAGACACAATACAAATTGTTGTGCCAAATGTTGAAGCTCTATGTTAAATAATGTGGGCCGACATAGATAAATCGACTTAGAATTTTATTCTGATCATGAATATATGTACAGTATGGGGTCAACGACGAATATTTAGGGATATTGCAAACGGAATGGAAATGTTAATATATCTGCCTTTTCAAGGTGGAGGGTATAATTACATTCTTCACCCGTCTCAGACATGTACTATCTAGGCTGTAGTTTAAACAAGTTAAAAAGAAGTAAGATCGACCGAACTTTGAATACCCTCCACCATTCGGAACGAATTCGGAAATTTTCAAAAAATAAAATCGGTTAAAAAATCATAAAAATACCGAATATAGCCGTTATATTGGGGTATATAGGACGTGGCTCTACGTAGGCTTTGTTTGTCATAAGCCATTACCATATTCACATTCGAAACTTGAAATAAACGGTGAATAATGTAGCTAAAATCAACAAAATACCATATATATGGAGGTACCGTTATATCGAAGCTATACGAAGACCTGTACCTGCATAGACAATTTTTTGTCACATGCTGTACCATCCACTCCGAACTTCAAATACGACATGTGAAACAATTTCGGTGAGTATTGTGCCTAAAATCGTCAAAATGCCGAATATAGGGAGGTTCTGATATATTGGGCCTATACGAAGACCTGGACCTGCATCGACAATTTTCTGTCAAACGCTGTAATATCCATTACGGACTGCACCATTCGGAACGAATTCGGAAATTTTCAAAAAATAAAATCCGTTAAAAAATCTGTTTAAATCTTAAAAATACCGAATATAGCCGTTATATTGGGGTATATAGGACGTGGCTCTACGTAGGCTTTGTTTGTCATAAGCCATTACCATATTCACATTCGAAACTTGAAATAAACGGTGAATAATGTAGCTAAAATCAACAAAATACCATATATATGGAGGTACCGTTATATCGAAGCTATACGAAGACCTGTACCTGCATAGACAATTTTTTGTCACATGCTGTACCATCCACTCCGAACTTCAAATACGACATCTGATTGTGCCTAAAATCGTCAAAATACCGAATATAGGGAGGTACTGATATATTGAGCCTATACGAAGACCTGGACCTGCATCAACAATTTTCTGTCAAACGCCGTAATATCCATTACGAACTGCAAATACCTAATTTGAAACTACTCCGGTGAATTGTGACACTAAAATCATCAAAATACCGAATATAGAGAGGTACCGTTATATGGGACCTATATGAAGACGTGGACCTGCGCAAACAATTTTCTGTCACAGTCTGTAGCATGGTATAATAAGAAGGTAGAACAGCTTCGAAAATCTACAGAAACACAGCCCTGAGGCTATACCCGCTTCCTGTCAAATTTGAATGCAACAATTTGTTTCCATTCATTTAATATTTTTGCCACATTTTCAAATTCAGTTAAACAGCGGGAAAAATGAATAAAATGCCTAAATTGTCTTTCAAAAATATGATCTAAACAGTTATATCTTTCAATTCCATGGCAAAAGTGGCAAATAGGTATAATGCGCGTCTCGAAATTTACGCGTCTTCCAATCATTGATTTTGAAAATATTCTTTTTTTATTTTTTAAAACAATAAATACATATACAAAATTGGCAGAAGTCGGGCAAACTTAGAAAAAAATTGTAATCACCTTGTAGCTCTACCTAACCTTTTTATTGTACCATGGGCTGTAGTATCCATTACGAACTTCAAATACCTAATTTGAAACAATGCCGGTGAATAATGTCACTAAAATCATCAAAATACCGAATATCGGTAGGTACCGTTATATAGGGGCTATATGAAAAACGTGGACCTACATGGCCCATTAACGAACTTAACCTGCCTACAGGCAAAATAAACATGTGTGCAAAATTTTAGCCTTCTATCTCAATTTGTTCGAAATAGACGGACTGACGGATATCGCTAAGTCGACTTAGAATTTTACGCTGATCAAGAATATATATACTTTATTGGGTCTGACATAACTATTTCGGGGAGTTACAAACGGAATGACAAAGTTAATATACCCTCCATAGTAGGGTGGAGGGTATAAAAAGATTCAGGTATTTTCACGACTTCTCTTAGTTCCTTGTCAAGAGCAGGGGTTATTTAAAACTACTGCCTTAAACCAAAAACCACTATAGTTTTCTCTGATATATAACAATTTACATAAAATAACTTTTTTTTGTTAATTTTTGATTTGCATAAACTAGTCAAAAGTATTCCGATTAAAAAAAAAAAAAAAACCTAATAAAATAAAATGTATTTAAGTTTTTGAATTATTATAAAAGTTAGATAAAATATTAATATTTTGATCAACTTTCAGTTTTACTTCGCGCTCTCAATGCTGACATTGCTGCCAATGGCCATGAACTCGGCACTCAACCCATGGAACCGGATTATGCTGATACCGTGTACAATGAACTTGAATATGCCAGCAAATATGATATGATGCAAAAACTGCAGCAGGATATACAGGAGGAGCAAGATATTGTTAGTAAATCGGCAGTGTTGATGAAACTTCTGGAAGTAAGAATGTCTTCCAATTGAATTTCGATTAAAATTGTAATAACCTGTTTTTTTCCATATTTCTCAATCGACAGGATCCCACAATTGAAACACTACCAATTGTCTATGTGGAAGAGGATGGTTCACTAGATGATAACATCAATGATAACAGTCTCGACTATCCAACGAATACAAATGGCATGACGAAACGGTCTCGTTACTACAGACGCTATCCTTGGAAACGTCATAATAGAAATCGCAGGTACTGCTACTATAGACTTAGTTTGTAATTAATATAAGAAGATGTTTTAAACACAAATCGTGGGAGGTGGTTTGATGAATGCTTTCAATAAATATAGGGCATTTCCCCCCATAATTTTCATGGTCTCGTTGGTCCGGTCAAAAACAAAGATTACCATTTGGAAATATGAAATGGGTCATTCATAAAAATATTGGTTTCGGGTAAACAGGGCACCGAATATTGGTGGATACCGTTGTATATGCGCTATAGGAAAACGTGTACCTACATGTACAATGTTCTCCTCTGGAGCTAGAACCCATTATGAAGTATAAATATCTATTTTTAGACAAATCCATGGAAAAACGTAGCAAAAATCATCAAAATACTGAATATTCGGTGTTATCATTATGCGGTGGCTATACGGAAACGTGGACATGGGAGGTGCCTTTATATGGGGATTATACAAAAACCTGGACCTAAAACCCATTATGACCTACAAATACCAATTTTTAGACAAAGTCGTGAATAAATATAGCGAAAATCATCAAAATACCGAGTATCGGGAGGTAGCATTATATGGGGGGCTATACCAAAATTGGGCCAATATATCTCAATTTAAATACCAAACATCCTAGACACAATACAAATTGTTGTGCCAAATTTTGAAGCTCTACGTTTAATAATGGGGACTGTATAGTTATTTCAACAGACAGACGGACAGTCAGACAGAGGGACATCGTTAAATTGGATTAGAATTTTATGCTGATCATGAATATATATACTTTATGGAGTCTACGACGAATATTTAGGGATGTTACAAACGGAATGACAAAATTTATATTCCCTCCTTTTCAAGGTGGAGGCTATAAAAATATATATTCGAGCAATAGGTATACCGGACCGAGTTTCACCAAACGGTAAAATTCTGTTGAGTATGAAAAAGTCTATCCAATTTGGGTTGATATTACACATGTGGTGGACAATACCCGTAAAATCGGATTCTCATGTATATCAAAGGTATATAAAAATCTGAACTTATGTCTAGGATGAATTCTGTCGCTTTAGTTTATTCGGAATGATATTAGCCATTTGGTGCACAAAAATCCTTGAAATCGGATGAAGATACATATGGGAGATATATCCAAAACTGATCCGATCTCTATCAAATTTGATAGAAGTATTTCTGGGCTCTATCTGATCAAATAATATTCTTATGGAACGCATACTTCGCATGTTAGGTACTTAAACACTAAATCGGATGAAACATATATATTGGAGCTATAGCTATAGCTTTGGGCTGATATTGGCCATTTGGCCTGAAATCGCATAAAGATATATATGGCAGCTATATCCAAATCTGACCCGATCTTGACAAAATTTTAGGCACTTATTTCTGAGCTGTATCTGATATCTGGTACAAAAAATGTAGAATGCATATTGCGCATATAAGGGACTTAAAAACCCATGTCGTATGAAACATATATATGGGAGCTATATCTATATCTGAACCTATCTATATATCTATATCTAGCTATATCTATATCTAGCTATATCTATAGCTGAACCTATCTTCGCCAAATTTGATGTACTTCTTTTCAGACTGGATTCGGTCAGATGGTCCAAAAAGTAGGTCATTTGGACCGATGTTGTCCATTTTTTGCACAATTTCAATAGGGTTCGTCCTTTATCCAAACAAATATTGTTTGAAAAATTTCATCTCAATCGGAATATAAGATCGCACGTATGCATTTTGTTCACAAAATATATGGACAGACGGACGGACAGACGGACGGACAGATGGACTGACATGCATAAATCGACACAGAAAGTGATTCTTTAAAAATCCTATGGGTCTAACTATGGTCCTTCTCCATCTTACAATCAAATACACAAAGACCTAATACTCTTACCACTATAGAAAAATTCAATGTTGCAAATAAAGTTAATTCTGACAATGATTCTGACTCAAAGTCATAGTTATTCAGTTGTTTTTGATTAATCTTACGGAGATCTTCCGAATATCTCTCTAATATAATGCTAATGTTTTTATCGATCTTGTAGATCTCTTCTTAAACGCCTAAGCTGGAGAGTTTCATTTAGCATATGATGGTTGGAACTCCTTTGTAGACCGAGTAGTTCCTTCCTATAAAACCAAGTAACGATTGGGCAGAATCTTCAATACACCCACTGCACTTATTGTTTCAACTTCATTCAGCTATTTCAAGAATCTGCCATTGAGAATCAGCCCAGTACCAACGCTGTGGATGACTCACCATAAACTACCTTCTCGGTATATCTGTTATATATATCAACTTTCTTCGATCAATTTTCTAACCTTCAATGCCATTTCTCTGACTCTGCGATGAATAACGTGGAACCACCGATGTGTATTACCCATTATTTGCTAATTTCACTGCCTCTTCGGGAAATTTTAGCATTACTTCTTCTGCATGATGATTAGAGAGTGTGGTGTAGTTCGGCTCAACCGTACTTATCTTAGTCCATTTAAAGTGATATTTTTGAATAAAAATCTTAATAGGTGATTTCTTATGAGTTTTTACCAAGGATCCCGTTTGCAGTCCGATATTTTTTTCGTCAGATATTTTGTCCGGTAAAAGGTTCCTTAAATTATTACGCTTCACTGTTTGGCCAATAATGAATGTTTGTTGTTTGTGTTTCATTTCAGATCGATTTAGAAAAAATAGTCAAGCCCATATCGGGCTCTGTTTAAGACCCTAAGTATTAAGCCGTATAGAATAGTCGATATTCGACTTGTCCGACCAGGTGGTAACTGGATTTGTCTGATTTTCCAAGAAAATAAGTCCAAATTGACTTGCTTGTAAAAGAAATATTTTGAATCTTAGATTCTGGATAGAAAAAAAAAATACATTTCAGTAAATTAGTCTCCGAATTATAATTTTATTCTGTGTGCTGTTTTTAAATCTTGCATACATTTAATCCAATTCAAACGTTTTATAATTTTTCTATTCCAGCACCTACGAACCGGAATTACGTTACGCTTGCACTCCCACCAAGGAGGATGTCTTCAAGCTGTTGGTAAATCTGCACGAGAATCGCAATGGCAAAAATGGCAAGACCATCAACTTCTGTAATCGCAAACGTCCGGCCAAGGCAATTTTCACCAACATCCGATTTTTGGGTTAAATTGTGAAATTAGTACTGGTAGCGAAAAACAAGCAAGAGAAAACGATGAGATTGAAAGCAAAGTGAATCAAATTAAGTGAAAAATTCAAATCAATTATTACAGACAGCCAACAAACATATTTAACATATTTATAAAGAAACCACGTTAAAGGAAGTGTATATTAACACAAGGAAGAGAGAGGGTGAGAGGGAGCGTGAGAGTGGAAGAATATAAATCGCATATACATATTATACCAATAATTGTGGTAAATATATCATATCTATATAATATATCATTAAAAATAATAAATAAGAGATCCTTAAAAAAGTCCTATGTGCAGCTAATACAAGAAATGTGTTAATTGTAAATTTAATAGACTTATATTAATAAAAATTGCATTATATGTGGTTACTTGATGTGAAATTGGGCAAATTACGAGCATAAAATTAATTTTCAAATTTTTAGTTTTTGTGTACTGATATTTGAGAGTAGTTCATTTATGAGCAAAGAGCAAAGAGGAAGGGGAATAATGGGCCACCGATAATAGACCCACCCTTTCTGGAACCTCTCCCACAAAACTCCAAGTTTTCAAAAACAAGTATTTATCTCATTGAATTGCAGAGAGTACTTGATTTGAACTACATAAATGAGATGTGGTTCACTTCCTCTGGTACTTCTGCCACAAAGTATCAGGTGTCCGATTTTCTGTAAACTTAGCACATCATTATAGTTTTTCCTCTGTTAAAACACGTGTGAAAATCTAATATATCGGTCCAATCATTCTACCACCAGGTTACAAATTCACAGACAAAAATCATACCTATTTCTCATAAAAACCAAGGAAAGAATCTCATACAGGGCAAACTTGGCATATTGAAATATTGATATGAGACTAAGGTCACTTCGAGCACTATATTCACTCTATTAGAGAATATGTGAAAATATATCGGTATAATCAACCTGCAAATTTTTAGCTCTTGTGGGGAAGACTAAGGTCACTTCGAGAATAGACATGGGAAAACTGATTGTAAATTAAAAAAAAAAAAAAACAACAATTAATAATGGCAATATTAGTATTTTCTCGAAGGATCTGAAAATAAACATCCCCTAACTATTTTTATTGTGGAGACATATTCCCAGAGATATGGGTATTTTTAATTCAGAAGTTGGAAAGCTTAAGAGAAACATTTCTAAATTTTCTCACTTATGACCTAAAGTAAATTCTTAATTCATCAATTTTTTTGTCGACTTCCTGTGATTATGTGATTTTTTAGCCTTCCAACAATATGATTTTATTTCCCTGCTATTTTGTATTATGTTCCCTTTATATCTTCAAAACTTCAAGATATATGCGGTAGATTCTATTAAAAATATTTGGAGAAACACAAGGCAAATAAATTGGAAATAATATCCAATTCTATAATATGGAAGTGAGGTTAGTGTCCATCAAAAGACCAATATCGTATGTATTTCCTAATACCCTGCAAAACATTGGTATAGAGTAGCTTGGAAAAAAAATTGGAAAAATATTTTTCAACTTCAAAGATTTTACACCAGATACCCCAAAATGCAATTTGAAAAATTGTAAATAAAAAATAAATATATTTATCAATATTTAACTAAAAACAATTATAGAAGTATAATCCGCATCATCAAGGAAATACCTGAAAAGCTAGAAAATCCACCCAAGAATAATATCTTCCAAATAAAAATCAAATTTAAAAATACACACACAATTCCTAATAATATTTGTCTTTTTAATGTTTGCATTCCAAAAATAATATCACAGTAATAAAAATAAATCAATTAGTTAATACCTCACCAAAAAATAAATAAAATAAAAAAGTAAAACAAAGAACACTACTAGATTCCCCTTGTGTATGCACTAAAAATCATATCAATTGAATTAAATTTTAATTTTTAAATGTTGTGAGAAATTGTTGCAAACAAATACATTAATAAATATGTAACTTTTGATCGCTCTTAGTAATAATAATATTGGCCCCTGAAATAAACTATATAGTTGCATTTGTATTAAAATAATTTAAATGTTTTATTATTTCATTTATGAAGGCATATTGTGTACATACAAGTATAATTATTCCATATTTATATTTTATTAAAAAAAAATGTTTTCAATTAAAGAATATATATATTATTAAAATTTACATACATACATATATATACAAGAATTATACAGAGAATAAAAATATATATATATACACATATATGTAAATCATTCAGTGTATGAAAATTATATTAATAAAATATGTGAAACAAAAATTATTTAATTTCATTGCTCATGTATGCGTTTAGAGAATATAAAGTGTAACATTGTAAATTGTAGGTTTACACAAATCCATCATACAAAAAAATAAAAATAAAAAAAGAGATCTCGATCTCGAATAAAATAACAAACATGTTTTATTTGGAAACATTCAATGAAATAGTTCAGTTTAGAATGCGAAAGTTAGAACCCTGGAAACCAACAGTGACCTCAATATCAAATTTCAAGATTTTAGCTCTATCCCTTCACCCAATACCACATTTAATAGCATTAATTCTTTTTGTACAGCAGCAGTACGCATTTTTAAAACAATCTCCATATCTCAACCTCAGATACCAACAGTGACCTCAATATCAAATTTCACCTCTGTAATTTCCCTCATCACCAAATTTAGTACAATTGTAATAAGTATATCCAAAACAGGCTCCTTCTTTTTATCACAGATAGTAACAGTGAAATCCATATAAAATTTCAGGATTTCAGTTCTATCCCTTCATCCAATACCAAATTAAGTACTATTTAGTACTTTTCGTACATTTAAATTACACATTTTCAGAACTAAAACAAAAACCAGTAAGGAAAGACCAAAAGTCGGGCGGGGCCGACTATATGATACCCTACACCACTATGCGTATTTAGTATAGCTCCCGTAACAAAAAGGTTTATATTGGGAATTTAAGTGAAGTAGATCATACCAACTATGATACAAATAACATTTCGCATGATATGACTTCGATAGGGATTTTAATATAATCCCTAGAAAGTCTTAAAGTCGGGCGGGGCCGACTTTATGATACCCTACACAACTTTGCTAATTTAGTAGAGCTGTGCATAACAATTAAAAGTTTTTATGGGAGAATTCAATCATACACGCTATGATTATAATTATAATTTAAAGTTCAAAGGACTAAATATGCCGAAGCATTTGTATCTTTTAAATACGGACTTGTCTTGCCCACTTGGTCCATAATTAATTTGAAATAGGATAAAAATAAAAATAAAAATCAATAAAATTAGGCAAAGATATTTCTGAGCTGTATTTGATATATTTCCCTGAATATCATTGTTACGGAGTGCATATTACGGCTGTGGGTAACAAGTATAACATATCGGATGAACAGTGTATATGGGAGCTATAGCTATATCAGAACCGATCTTCACCAAATTTGACATACTAGCTTCTAGACTCAATTCGGTCGTAAGTGCCAAATTCCATCCCATTTGGACAAATATTAGACGTTTGGTGCGCAATAAAATGTAAATTGGACGAAGTTTTAGATGGGAGCTATATGTAAATCTGAACCAATCTCGATAAAATTTAGCAAATGTATTTCTGAGCTGTAGTTGTTTTATTTCCCCAAATATTGTTGTTACATGGTGCATATTACGGCTGCGGAGGACAAAAATAACAAATCGGATGAGCAATATATATGCGAGCTATAGCTATATCTGAACCGATTTCGATAAAATTTGGCATACTAATTTTTGGGCCCAATTTTGTTGTATGTGCAAGATTCCATACTATTCGGGCTGATATTACACGTTTGGTGCACAATAAAAAGCAAATCGAAACAAAGATATATATGGGAGCTATATCTAAATTTTGACCGATTATCTCCAATTCCAATAGGGTTCGTCCTTAGGTCAAACAAATGATCTGTGCAAAATTTCATATGGATAAGGCAATAAATGCGAACTGTACTTTGTTTACAAAAATACATGGACCGATGGACGGACGGACATGCATAAATCCACTCAGAATGTGATTCTATGCAGATCATCAAAAGGAACTATGAGTCTATCTCATTTCCTTTGGCCTGTTACAAACAAATACACAAAGATATAATACCCTAACCACCTTGTGGTGTAAGGGACTGAGTTTCACCAAATGGTAAAAATGAATATGAAAAAATCTATTCAATATGGGCTGATATTACGTATGTGGTAATAACAGTAAAATTGTAAGAAGATGTATATAAAAAAATCATTTGAAGATTTAAATAACCAGTAAGGGAAAGTCAAGGTCGGGCGGGGCCGACTATGTGATGCCCTACACAACTATGCATATTTAGTAGAGCCCCATAACAAAAGAGTAGATCATGCCACCTATTAACATTTGGCTTTAGAGCAGTTATAGTTTGGATTCAGGGGGAATTAATATATGGGAGGCATATCCCATATATTCTGAATCGATTTTAACTAAATTTGACGGATACATTTTAATCCTTTATACCAAATAACGTTGATATAGAGTGCATGGCATCACTTCGGGAAGGTTTATATTAAAAAATATATATCGGAGCCGAGTTCCACAAAATGGAATCGTACATCCCGAAATTCACTCCATTTGGGCTGATATTAGCCATTATTTGCACACTAAACCTGAAATCGGATTAAGGATACATATGGGAGCTATACCCAAATCTTAGACGATCTCGAGAAAATTTGGCAAATGTATTTCCGAGCTATATAAGATATCTGGTACCAAATATCATTCTTGTGGGGTGCATATTACGAATGTGAGGGACTAAAACACATAATCGGATAAAACATATATATGGGAGCTATAGCTATATCTGAACCGATTTACTCCAAATTTTATGTACTTACTTCTACATTAAATTTTGTCGGATGTACCAAAATTCTGGGGTTTTGTACTGACATTGGCCATTTGGTGCACAATTAACCCGAAATCGATTGAAGATATATATATATGGGTTTTTAAAAACCGATCTTGATTTAAATAAAATGAAGACAAACAAGTAAAAAACGAGCTAAGTTCAATCGGGCCGAACCTTTAATACTCTCCATCATTTTGAAGGAACATGAAAAATTTCCAAAAAATTACGTTGAAAACTAGAAAGGTATAGCCAAAAGTCGGGCGGGGCTGACTATATGATAACCTACACCACTATGCATATTTAGTAGAGCTTCGTAACAAAAGAATTTATTTGAAGTATATCATACCTCCCATCAACGTTTGGTTTTAGAGCAGTTACAGTTTGGTTTCAGAGGAAACAAATGGGAGGCATATCCAATTCTGAATCGATGTTCACTGAACTTGATGGAGACTTTTTAATCTTTTGCACCAAACAACATTGCTATGGAGAGCATGATATCACTTTGAGAAAAATTATATTAAAAAAACGTACGTCCCGAAATTCACTCCACTTGGGCTGATATTAGCCATTATTTGCACAATGAACTCAAAATCGGATTAAGGTTGTATGTATGGGAGCTTTTCTTAGCCGATCTTGAATAAATTATGCAAACGTATTTGTTTTCGAATTCATATTACGGATGTGAGGGATTTAAACACCAAATCGCATGAAACATATACATGGAAGCTATATTCAAAACTGAACCGATCTTGATACAATTTGGCAGAGACATTTTTGGGATGTAGCTGGGTTACGAATGTAAGGAACTTAGATATCAAATCGGATGCAACATATATATGAGGGCTATAGCTATATCTTAACCGATTTTATGTACTTCCTTCTAGACTGAATTCGGTCGGATGTACCCAAATTCAGGAATTTTGGACTGATTTCGGCCTTTTGGTGTACCATTAACCCGAGTTCGGTTGAAGATATATATAGGAGATCTGATCTTATTAACACCAATTTCAATAGGGTTCGTCCTTGGGCCAAACAAATATTGTTTTCAAAATTTCATCTCAATCGGATAATAAATGCGACCTGCATTTTGTTCACAAAAATACATGAACGGACGGACTGACATGCAAAAATCAACTCAGAAAGTGATTCTATGAAGGTCCTCAAAAATAACTTTGGGCCTATCTCGCTTCCTTCTCCGTGTTACAAACAAATGCACAAAGACATAATACCCTTACACTATGAGGTGTAGGGTATATATACCGCTCAAAAGAAAACCGTTATAAAAGACTATGCGAAGACATGGTCCTGCAAGATTTTTTTATAGGCTGTAGTACTCATTACAAACTTTAAATACGAAACGAAAATACGAGTACCTCCGGTAAAAAATGTCTTTAATATCATCAAACTGGAAACATTTCCGGTGAATAATGTCAATAACGTCATCAAAATACCGAATAATATGTGAGCTATATGAAGACTTACATATGCAATTTTCCGTCATAGATTGTAGTACCAATTACGAGATTCATATACGAAATTTTAAGCAATTCCTGTGATTAATGTCCCTAAAATCATCAAAATACAGATTATCGGGAGGTATCGTTATATAATAATATCATCAAAGTACCAAATAAAGAGAGGTTCCGTTATATGTGAGCTTTACTAAGACGTGGACCAACACAGACAATTTTACGTCGAGCTTTAAAAACGAAATTTGATACAGTTCCCGTGAATAATGTTCTTAAAATCATCAAAATACCGAAAATCAGGAAGTATCGGCATGCGCAATTTCTTGTCATAGGTTGTAATACCGATTGCGAACTTTAAATACGAAATTTGAAACCATTCCAGTAAAAATGTCAATAAAATCATTCAAAAAACGAATATCGGGTGGTACAGTCGTATGGGGGTATACAATATCGTGCACTTATATAGACAATTATCTTCCAGAGGGTAAAGTGCTCAGAAGGAACTTCTTTGTTTGGACAGACAGTTCCACTGAAAAATGTGGCAAAATACGGAATATTGGAAGGTAACGTTATAGGGGGAATATACGGTATCGTGGGCCTTATATGTTGAGCTATATGAAGACGTTAACCTACATAAACAATATTCTGTCATAGGTTGTAGTACCCATTAACCATAAAATTATTATTTTGAGAGCTACAAACGAAATGGCGAATTTAAAATACCCTCTATACTATGTATTGTGGAGGGTATATTCGATCGGCTGACTCAAACAAAACTCCCAGGATAACACTAAGCCGATTTT